AATACTTTTACAAATTTTAGTAGTCTATTATTTGATATAGCCAACTATGAAATTAGTGAACAATTTATAAAATATTAATTATGAATTTTCATATTCAAAAAGATTGATATTTTACATGGTTCATGCGAGTTTGATACTGAGAAGAGAAATTATATTTTGCAAGTGATAATTTTCTCACATGTTTGAAAATGAATTTGAAAGAGACTTTATATAGAACACTAATTGCTAATTGCAGTTTTGTTAGCCCTTGGCATGTCATAGTACACCTAGCTAGCAGGGTGCTTATAAAAGGTGCTAGCCTCGTGCAATGGCCAATGTATGTGAAATAAAGGGATGGTTATTCGTGAGCATCATACTTACATTTGTTTCATGGCTTCGGTTGCGTTTAGTTACTTACCTTTGTGGACTATGTGCCCACATTTGTCTTCATGGCAAGAGCCGCCTTTAGTTATTTACTCTCATAAACTATGTGTCCACATTTGTTAATAGTTTTGATAAGTCCCTATAATCATAAATTACATTATTTGATGATTTTACATCTCATTGGTTTTTTTATTTAATAATTTATCTATAATTATTTATTTTTTTATTTGTTTTTTTGAAATCACGTGACAACAATATTTAATCTGATACTTTAATGGTTCAAAATTCTATTTAATGTTATATAGAGCCATTTTATTTTGAAGTTTATTAAATTTTTATGAAAATTGTTATCTTTAATTTATATAATTGTTTCAAACTTTCCTTTTATTCATATTCAATTGTTTATTGTTGGGACGTTATTCACTGAAAAATATTTTTGGTCTCAAATGGAAAGGCTCAATTTGTATTTCAACATGTTCACTGTGAAGTTTTATCATTCAAATGGAGTGAAAGAATTACTTTGACAAGACCCATTTAATGTAATTTGAGCCTTATATTAAATCAATGATCTGACTCTAAAAGCTTCACATTGATTATAGGCAAGATCTTTATTTTTATTAAAAAAATTAAATAATTGTTGGTAAGGAGTGCAATGTCTTTGCTTGTATTATTGTTGTTCTTTGCTGGTGACAAATTTTGAGAAGTCTCAATTTTAGGATACATTTTGCTAAATTTTTTTATAGGAAATTTTGAATTTTGGTTGCATGAAAAATATAAAAATTAATTAATTTATAATAATAATAATAATAATAAAATATTTAAAATTCTATTTATATATTATATGTGTTTATGGTTTACAAATTTAAAATTTCTTTAGTTAAGATTTATAGAATATGAGTTTTGCATACATATTCCATGTCAGTCACATCTTATATTTTGGGGCTTGACATTGGTTTTGTTAAAAAAAAAAAAAAGGAGGAGCATCATATAAGCATAAGAGCATTGAACCGTAGCAAAATTAATTTTGTTTGAACTAACTCATGGTCCTTCTGAATATTTTTCAAGATAAAGAAACTAATTTTCTAAACAGATCAAACGAACATGATAAAAATCATGAAAATAAATTATAAAGATATTAAAAAAACATTATTAAAATATGAGGAAGTGGAGTGATATTTTTCTTAAAAAAACACGCACACGCTCATCAATGGTATTCATTTACGCGCTTTGGAATCTCTGTTTACGTAGCTTCACTTTGGTCGCCTCCTAACCTTCATTTCGAAAACCACACCGCTCTTTCTTTTCTTTATGTTTTAAACGCCAAAAACTACTATATATGTGCGTGTAATTGGTCTCTTAATTCTTTAATTTTTAACTAATTTTTAACTAAATTACTCAATTATAACTCATTATGATTCAATCATTCAACTATTAACTCATTTATTATTTAGTTCCTTCACTTTTAACTTATCTATAAATTGGTCCTTCAACTTTTGTTTATTCTTTTTTTTTATGGTAATCTAGATCTCATGTCAAAGGAAAAAAAAAGGAGGATATTTTAGAATAAAATGCATTCCTTTTATCTCTTTTATTTAATAAGGATAATTTTTTAAAAAAAATTAAAAAATATGAACTGAATTATAAATGAGTTAAAAATTAAAAAATTTAATTTTAACAAGTCATGATTGAAAGATTAAGGGACAAGTGAGCTAAAAGGTAAATGAGAAAAAGATTAATTTTTTTAAAAAATTATGATTATTATTTGACTCTACTCATCCTTACCTGTTACGGTGTCGCACTAGTGTATAGGGTAAAGTGCATCACGTATTCAAATATAAAAGAGGTTGTTCAAACTTCAGTCAACAAACCATGCTCTGATGTTGGCCCAAAAAAGAAAACAAAAAAGTAAACCATGCTCTGATTTCAGGTCAAAAAAAAAAAACAAAAGAAAAACCATGCTCTGATATTAAGTAAATTAATCGGTCCATCCCCTCCCCCCCCCCCCCCCCAAAGGCTGAGTGGCAAGTGGTGACTATTGTATAGGTTAAACACCATGGTTTTTGTATATGGCAAGTAAAACACGTTTTCAGAAAATAATAAAAAACAAAAAAAAGTGCAAGTAAAACACGTTTTCATAAAATAATAAAAAACAAAAAAAAGTACGTTGGGTTAGGTTTGGAAATCTATCCATCAGCAGCACATGGCCAGGACATTTTATAGCACTAAACTTATACACATTATCATTGTATAAGTATCGATCTTGGTGTATGTATTTCAATTACTAGAAGTTAAGATATAATGTCTTTTTATCAATTTATCTTTAATTTTTGACCTGTAAATTGATCTTTAATTTCGGGAATTAGAAACTTGAACACAACAAACTCATACGGAAGAGTATAATATTTAAATTATTGAAAAACAAAAAATAGGCCTAAAAAGAGTCTTAAAAAAGATTAAGTTATAACAAATTAAATGGCAAGCTTTCAAAAAAAAAAAACCAACATTATAGGTTGAAGAGTATTTCCTGGATGCCTAAATAGTGTTGTTATTCCCAAAGTGCTTTTAACATATTTTGTCAAAAAATTTAATGCAAAAAGACATTATTTTTTTTATTTGTTGTGTGAGAGAAAGCTTCATGGTAAAGCACTATTATATTGCCTTGTTTTGAAAATTTGCTTAGACAACTCAAAAGAAAAAAAGATGAAGATCCAACGGCAATATTCATAAATGTAATTGATCATTTATGGAGCCAAACTATAAATAAGAATATTTATGAAGACGGTGAAAAAATGAACGTACAAAAACAAACTTAAACTATTCATATTTATTATGCACCAACTTTCTATATTGATTATGTAAGAGCTTCATTGATCATATATTAACTCTTAAAGAGAGAGAGAGAGAGAGTTTCGTAATAGTAGTTCATTTTTGAACTTATTTTGTTTATCTCTATTTTTCTTACTTGAAACAAAGGATCTTAAAATTGAGGAGTTTAAGAGGGATATATCATTACTTTTGTAAGGAAAAGTGATTCAAATTCTAATATGAGTTTGGGAATGTACTGAGGCTGCCAAAAGCTTGGATTAATTAAGGTGAAATTAGTGGATAAAATCCTAAACGATGCTTGAGAACTGAATGTAGGCTCAAATAATTGGAGCTGAATCAAAATACATATCTATGTAAGCTTCTCTTCCTTTCTTTCCATCATGTTTGATGATATTGTTCTAAACTCATCTCCTTAATTTTATTATTATTAGCTAAATTTTTATAAATCTCAATTCACCCCTATTGGCAGACTTTCAATTAATAATTGAAAAGTAAATTTTAACGTACATCAATCATTGCTCAATTAATATAAAAAAATTATATTTAGGTCTTACAAAAAAGAATTTATTATCAAAAAGTTTCATAAAATTAATAAAATACTTTTAAGTCAGTCTCAAATTTTATATATTTATTAGTTGACAAAGGATATTTACTATTAAACAATTGGTATTTACAACTTTACACAAAATATAAATATTTTTTGTTAAGTTATAAATGTATACGATTTAGGATTTTAAAATATTTTATAAATTTTATGAAATTTATTAGTAATAAATTTTTTTTATAAGATATTGATGTGATTTTTTTCATATATCGTAAGCGCACTCAACATAGTTGTCATGTGATTTGTCCGTTGGTCCGCAAACTTTTCTTTCGGCCAGACGACGTCCACAAACTTGACAATGACATTCATCCACTTCCCCCGTCTTTGATATGGAAATCTCGATTTTTTTTCTTTTTTTCAATCCAACGGCTTGCATACAAGCCTTGTTTTTATTATATTTTAATTAAATACATTTAACCAAAAAACAAAAGTCATTTCTATGATTAAAGGTAGTCAAAAATAGTCTATTATTTCATTTATAAAACAATTCAAGGATGAAAATATCCTAACAAGAAACCTGACATGAATCGCAGAAATTGTAGATAAAGAAATAAAAGGAATACAGCTTTTCCAATGGTGAGCTGTCTGGATTCCTTAAACATGTAACTAGGATAAATTCCTGATTCCTGTGTGTGTACATGGAAAAATATTTTTATAAAAGTCAACCCTGTAAATGAAATCTCAATACTCCAAGATTAGTCTCTGGTGTATTGGAAGATCCACCGGTTAAATAAATAAAAACAATTAAAGCTTTGATTAGATTTTGGGATCCACGTAATGAGGATAAAAAAATGTTTATATCCCTCGATGTTGTCAATTTCAAGATGCCGGAATACTTGAGCGATCGAATCTTGACAATTTTATTAGATCATCTTATTTTTATTTTTATTTTTATTTATTTTAATTTATTCTATTCCATTTTTCTAATCAAATGGGACAAATTTTAGCTCAATTAATTAAAAAAAGTAGGTCGTTTTTATATATTGTCAAATAAATCTTCAGTATTTATTATATACTATAAATAATATATAAAAATATTTAAAAAAATTAACATAATGAAAACATAATTTATATGTTCTCTTGAAGCAAAATTAAAAAAAAATGTAACTAATCCAACTTAATGTTCTTATGTTAGTAAGTATAAAATATACAAGTATATATAGTGGTAAAATAGAAACCCAAATATTTAAAAAAAAAAAAACAGAAGTGACAATAAGTATAAAGGCAATTGATTGATGTAATAGAAAAGAATACACAAGATCATTGAATTGGAAACGATTCATATTATCTAAATTCAATTTGTCTTAGCAGAAGATAGTAAAGAACAAACAAAAGTCTTGATCTTTGAAAAGAGCTCTTTTTGTTTAAGAGGACTGCGCAGTTCAACCCCGTGATTAAACCCTGGTTCAAAACTACCGTCCACTCTCACTCCATTTTCCTCCATCCACGTCACCATCTCTCTCTGACGATCCACCAGTGGGTCCCCCTCACACCCAATCACCATCACTCTCCACCCAAGCAACCTCATCTTCCCCACCTTCATCTTCTGATCATCATCTTCTCTCCCAACCGTTGGACTGCAATACTCATGATCACGGTCCGATCCAACGGGCAACGACAACTCCCACATCAAGTCACTCACGCACAGCGGCAACACCGGATCATTCACCAGCCTCAATTCCGAACCACACCTCTGCATCCCACCCACAAATGGCTGCACCAATATCATCCCTCTGATCTTCAACGGTTGCAAACGGTCCGGTTCCGCCGCTGCACGTAGACCCGCGTGGTACGCTATATTTGCCCCCGCGCTATTGCCCATGAGGAAACAACATGAGTAGTCGGCGTATTGCGAGAGCCAGTCATCTTGGTTGGTTTGGATCCAGTGCAACGCTTGCATGGCATCCTCGTACGCCGCCGGCAACCGGTGCTCCGGAGCAAGACGATACTCCAAGGATGCAACAATGACGTGGACATCGTCGGCCATGTTTATGCAGAAGTCATGAAACATCGATGAGGCTGCACTGAATAAGATGAATCCACCACCATGGAAGTATAAGATCAGAGGTAGCTTCGGAGAGGGATTATCCAGTGCTTTCCGAGGCAAGAAGATTCTAACATAGACGTTAAGTTCTTGGCTGATCGTGATATCTTTGGTCAGGACAGAAATCGGAAGGTTAGGATCTGACGCCGGTGATATGGGTGGGTCCACGCGCAGGCGCGTGAAGGTGCCATCGTGATTGAGAACTACCTTGAGGTGCTTGTAGGGATCAAGACTTTGGCCTTCTTCCATTAAACAACCTCTGTGCTTCGACTCAAACAAGCATCATTGGCATCTTAAGATACGAAGGAGACCTAAAGGTATTATTCGAATATAAAAATAAAAGCAAACTACTTAATCCAAAATGAATTAAAATAAAAATTAAAAAAAAAAAGACCTAAGCCACTAATGGGGTGTTGAATAATTTCTTTAAAGTGTCATACAGCTCCAAGGCTTTGCCTTGTGTAGGCTGGCCGACGAAAGCTCCATGTTTGTCCTCACCCTGAAAGTGACCCTCCACTTGCGCACCATTTTCTTGTAGTGTATTCACCAGCTTGATCTGTCGGTCGACAAGTGGGTCCCCATAACATCCAAACACTATAACTTTCCATCCAAGCCGAGTGATATTATCAAAACCCTTAGAACCTCTCTCAGCCGTCGGATTGGAGTACTCGTGATCACGATCAGCCCCTACGGGAAGCGAAAGCTCCCACATGAGATCAGTCACGGGCAGTGGCAAAACCGTGTCATTTGCGAGCCTCCGTTCTGAAGAAGTTCGCTTCACTCCGCCGAAGAATGGTTGAATCAATATCAGCCCTTGGATCTTCACTGGTTCAAGTTGATCGACTTCCGCGGCTGCACGTAGACCCGCATTGTAGGCGATATTACCCCCTGCACTCTCCCCCATGAGATAGCATCTGGAATAATCAGCAAAACGTGTCAACCACTGATCCTCAGAGGTTTGGATCCAGTGCAATGCTTCCAACGCATCATCGTACGCCGCCGGTAGCCTGTGCTCGGGAGCGAGGCGGTAGTTGACTGAAACGACGACGGATTGGGTTCTTTGTACCAAGCTTACGCAGAAGTCATGGAAATAAGTTGAGTTTGCGGCGTAGAAGATGAAGCCGCCGCCGTGATAGAAGACAATGAGCGGCAGCTTGGTGAGGGAAGATCGGGGATGGTTGAGTGCTTGAAGAGGAAGGAAGATGCGAGCCCAGGTGTTGCGTGAAGGATTGATGGTGAGATCTTTGGAAAGAACAGGAAGATGAGAGTTCGGATCTGGTGCGGCAGGAGACTCGGGGTGTTTCTCCAAGCGAGTAAGGGTACCGTTTGGATTCAGGATTATGTGGAGGAGTTGGTAGGGATCCATGGTGGTTGATGGAGTGCCGGCAACAATGGTGGTTGAAAATGCGACGGAGAGATAGTAGAGAGAGAAGGCGATGGTGGCTCCGCAGAAGAACCTGGCTGGTGAAAAAGACAAGAGAGACATGAGTGAAAACACAGTGGTGGGACTGGGACTGAACCGATAAATTGTTTTCTACGTTGTCGAAGGACACATATATGCTATTATAGAGAGAGAGCAAATATATATTGATTTTGTACATGATTAGATGTAATGAACATGGAAGGAGTTCGTTTAATAATAAACTTTTCCTTGTTAGTCAAAATAATAAAAAACTCTTCCTAGTTCGTTTAAATGATCTGGATCATCTAAATTAATTTAAAATTTTATTTTTATATTTTTATTATAAAAAATTATACAGTTTTAATAAATCTATTTTTTCATTAATCTAAAATTTAATTTAGATGACCTAACTTAATATTAAAATTTTTTTATAATTTTTATATATTAATTATCTCGATATACTCTAGATAATTTAAATTTAAAATTTTTAAGTTGCAATTCTTTCTTAATTTTTTAAAGTGAAAATCTAAGATTATCTTTATTTTCATTTTTTTATATTATCTTTACTAAAATAAAAATTTATAAAAAATTTTATTATTAAATTCAGACAATTTAAAATACATTTGGATAGTTAACTTATAAAAATTAATATTAAATTAAATTATTATTGTCTAAATTTATAAAAGGATAGATTTATTAAAATTTTATAATTATAAGTTTTTATAATAAATATAAAATATAAATATAAAAATGAAATTTTAAATTCTGAACTATGTAGATTGCTCATCAAGTGAAGACGACACTGAAACCCAACGCTCCTCGTACATACTACTCTGGCACATGGCTTGACGCAAGGTATTTTTAATGAAGGGCTACAATTGGCAACCTGACTTCTGATTGCATTGCATGCGTGCATGACAAAAGGAGAATAGGAATTTTTAAGGGGAGAATGGCAGTTAGGTTGCAGAAGTAAATTTGGTCCCAAAAAAAAAAAAAAAGGTTGCAGAACTAAATTAATTACAGTTTAATTTTTGACAATTTTTTTTTAAAACTAGTTAAAAATTGATTAAAATAATTATAAATTCAGAAGTTTTAAATGCAAACAAGTATTTCACTATAAAATGTAATTCTTTGATTATAACATAAATTTTTATTTGTAATTATTTAAATTAATATTTATAATTTATTTTATAAAAATTTTTATCGATAATCTAACAGTTAGTAATTTTATATTCTGAACTTACCTGTCATTCTCTCATTTTTAAGTCACCCTTTTTCAACCAATTAATCACAACACCTTGTGCAGATCCTGGGCCTCGTTGTCTTTAACCCCGGTACGGCTACAATACAACTAAGCACAAGTAGCTTGTCCCCTTGCGTAAAGTAAATAAATAATTAACTTATCCCCGTGGGCCGTGGTTGAAAAGCTAAAAGATTGCTGATTTTGGGAGAACGACGACTAATCAATAAATAAAAAAAAATCAGTGCTAAAATATAGGAGTACGGACATTAAAAAAAAAAACCTAGGTGTACGTATTATCAATATGCTTCTTTGTTCTTTATACGAACACAACCAAAATAAGGCATTATCTTAGTTTTAATGGAAAAACTAATTATGGTGATCTCGAGTTTAAATCTACGCATGTGAATTGAAAAAAAAAAAATTGTTTCATAGCTATGAAAAGCATACAAATTAAATTAAATGACAAAAAATAATTGTTTCATATAGCCAATGTATTTTACTTTCTCAAGTTTGTCATTGCAACTCTAACCGTTGCACTGTAATCATCCAAGCCTTGTCCTCTCCTTTAGTCAGTGTTCCTCATACAGGTTAGATAATTTGGATATGGAAAATTAAATAAAGCATAGGAAGAAGATTCATTGTCTAGTTTTCTTATAATTAGTTGCACACATCTTTTAAATGGTACTTTCATCATGAAGCACGCACAAGATATTTCAATTTTTTTTTTATCTCATCTGCTATTCACCTTCATGGGGAATTTTCAATTTTCACAAAACTATAATCTCCTTCGACCCCTTTGAGATTCAATTGCATTCACAAGATGTTTATAATTATGAAGGATTAATTTTTGTGTGAACTCGAGTATCCCAAATCTTTGATCTAAATTAATCCCGTTGACAATTGAGGGCACCACTTTGAAACATATCTTCCACCAAAAATTTAATCATTACTATATACCTAAAACTCGAGTTCAAGACCACTAGTTAAGTTAGACCAACACCCTAGCAATTGATCCAAGTACTTGGTGGTTAAGAAGGATTAACTTCATAAGAACAAAAATCATGCTGTGACATTGGACATTTTTCCCTTCTTTTTTCACTTTTACGTCAGGGTTCTAGTTGAGGATTATTTCTTTTTTTTTTTTCGCATTTCAATTTTTCACTGTAGTTGTTTCACAATATTACTGTACTTTAATCACTTTAAAAATATATTTATTTTTTCTCAAAATTAAAAAATTAAATCGTAAAAGTATTTTAAAAAATAAAATAGATAAATCACAAAAGACTTGTTGACATAAAATGTAAAGGACGTACTAAATTAGGACTTAATCATCATACTAATCATGGTTAATCAAGGACTAACCCAAGTGGATTATCCAATATGAGATTAACCTAAATGAATTCTTAATATATATTTTTTTAAACTATTTAATATAAAGGGATCCCAAGTCTTTAAAATATTTTAAAAACTCATATCATTTAATTAAACATATACGGAAGCATAATAATAACTATTTTTACTTGCACAAATATTTTGGCCCGTAATTATAGCACAAGCATCAAACCACATTCCCCAGGGCCCAAAATACATTTTCCCCAACACAAAACCCATAATGCAAGTGAATCAAGAATATATTATCCTAGTTGGCAATATCATAAACTAAATACACATATCAAATAAAAGGAGAGAGGCCTATAGAAATGATTATTATCACTTGGTCTAATGCTCCTTTCCTCTGTTCTTCTGAGATGAGCTAACTCCTGTAATATGTTAAAAGAGAGGGGTGAGTACAATCAATCAGTAACCAAGGTATATCTAAGTTATACAAATGCATAATAATTAATCATGAATGCAAGTAGCCAATAAATTTATCAAGGCGACCATTCAAACAATCACATTAATAACATGTTAATCACATTAACATTTAACTCATGTGAATAATTTCAAGAATAAAGTCAAGTATAAAATTTGCACAAATAGCCACATATACATTATTCGCATAATTACTACATGTTCTCATTTCTAAAATTATAATCATATTCTCAACATAGCCATCAATCACTCAAATGACATGATAATAATAATATGCATGATCAATCTCTTCCTTATATGCCCTGTTATTTCCTCTGACATGAAATCCGTGGGCCAACAACTGGAAGGGATCGTCCATGTGATAAGACTACCCAAGGCCTTAATCATATCATGAGGGGCTACCGGGCCAGGGTTACCTTACTCACTTATGAATACGGTTTCCCCCAAATCACATACTATGAGGTGTCATACCTAAAACTCCAAGTAGGCCAGTAGGGTCAAGTCCCTTAATAGGAACAATGCTACAGTACCTTACAAGGCAAGTAGTGGCTATAACCGCTAGGATTATTGGTTAATAGCCAAGTACCATATGAATTTTGCATAACCGCTAACTCCTTCACTAAAGCGAACTCCCGCCATATGATCATGCTTATGAGAAAATGCATTTCAAAAAAAAACTCACATATATAATTCAAAATTATCCCACATGCTCATCAACTTTTTTACTCAACAAACATCAAGAATCATCATATTTCAATCATGCCTCTTGCATCAATTTTTAAATTATCATACAAAACCACATTAGCATCATATAAAACTCAACATACTCATACAATTCATCACTGTGCATAATCCACAACTTATAACCAAAAGTGTACACATAATCATCAACCATCAATCTCATTACTCACACTAAGTCATAATTAACTTGGTCACAAGTCATAGAGTCTCAACAAAGTCACATGAATTACAAACAACTATTTCAAATTTAGATATATATATTCTTTTATTTCACCAACATAATTAATTAAGTAACATACAAATGTATAAAATAGATTTCCCCCGGTTACCTCAACCTTTGAGAGGTCAAAAATTATCCCTCAAGTTATAACACTTTCAAAGCTTTCCAACGCTTGAATGGTGTCAAAAGGAAATTAATCTACAATTGATCATATTCCAATGTGTCAATAATATTATAACACAATTTTCACTCATACTCTAATACCTAAGTATTTATGTTATTTTATTTTATATTTATTTTATTTTTATATATATATTTTTAAGAATTTAGTCTTAGTCTCTTGAATTCTAAAATTTAATTTTATATATTTGAACCTATCTACTTGGTTCAATAGTCTCCTTCACAATAATTTCATCCAAATAATTTTCTAATATCAAAATTTCTCTTTTTATTTGAAAAATTCACACATAAAAATACCCAAAAATTGCAAACTTGATTTCAAGCCTAGAATCATTATTCTATAGCCATAATAATTTATTTCTCATCTCAAATAATCATCTAAATATCAACAAATCAATTTACATTTTCAGATTTAACCAAAAATCTACCCATAGGGATCTAGAGATAAACTCAAATGCAAGGTACGTAAAACCGGACCGGTCATTGAACCGATCATGACACTAGGTCATGGGTTAGTGGTTTAATTAGGGTTGAACCGGGGGTTGAACCGGTGGCAAATCGGTCATGATTTAAATAATACAATTTAAATAAAAAGACATTAATTTTAAAAACATTCAACTAAATTCAACCACTCAAAAGTCTAATAGTAATAAAACACAACACTTTAAATATCTATTATTATAATTACAACTCTTCAATCTCAAAAGTCTAGAGAAGAGATGGAGATAGAGTTGGAGAAGAGATGGAGATTGAGCTGGAAAAGAGACAGAGAGTCAGAGACTAAGCTGAAGAAGAGATAAAGATAGCAAAGATAGAAATAGAGCTGAAAAAGAGACAGAGATAGAGTTGGAGCCTAGAAAAGAGATGAAGACTAAGCTAGAGAAGAGATGCTGATTAAGTTAGGGCGAGAGAGAAGAGACACAGATGAAAGGCCGAACTAAATGCTGTCTAAAAATTTGGATTGGACTTAGCGTGCTCTACGTTTAATTTTTCATTTTTTGACTTTAGTTTCACTTTTTTTTGTTATCTTTTTTCTAAACTCAGCACTATGAAAAATAAAAAATAAAAAAATCCTAAAAAAAATAACCCAGTCAACCCACCGGGTTAACCGGGTTATACCAGGTTGAACCTGGGCTGACCGGTTTACACCGGTTCATCCCCTCACTGGTTTAGGAGTAAACCTAGACCGGACAAGGGACCGGGTCACCGGTTTTTGGGTTGACCCAGCCAGTCCGGTCCGGGTTTCAATACCATGCTCAAATGCATCAAATTCCAATTCTATCAACAAAATAATACTCTAGAATATTTATTACACTACCAACAACCTTAACAACCAGATTTTCTCACCAAAAATTCATCCCTCTTTCAAATCCTAGATTTTTCAAAATCTTAAAATCTGCAGCTTAAAGGGAAAAATGATTAAGAAAAAATGTTTAGAACACTTACCTAGTCTGAGAATACTTAAAATCTCATCTGAAGTATCTTACTATGGAGTTTCACCTTCCAAATCAACTCCCCTAGCCGCAGCGTCGCTCGCTTTCTTGCTCACTCTCTGCCTCAGCTCGCGCACAGGGAAGAATTGAAGGAAAGAGAAAAGAAATGAAAAACACAAGAGAAGTCTGGTGGTTTTAAAACAAAGAGTAGGTCCTACTTCCCACTACCTTTTTCTTCTTTCTTATTATTATTATTATTATTATTATATATAATCATTGCAGCACGCGGGACGCCAAAAGCTCTCTTCTTCTTCTCTCTCTCTCTTTTTTTTCATTATTTACACCTCAACACCTAAAGCAAAAATTACTTCTCTCCCCCCTCTAATTTTCAATTTATTTTATGTTTCTTTTCCTTCTTCTTCTTCTTTTTTTAATAATATTATCATTACTATTTCTATTTACTATAAGATCATAACTTAGAATTTTAATCTAAATTAAATCCAATAATAATTTTCTAACTAAAATTATTTATATCTAAATATTCCTTCAAAATTACTCATTTGTTCTAAATTAACTTAATTAATCTTAGGTTAATTTTTTGGGCTGTTACATAAAACGTAGGGGCCATTACCATTTCGAGCTATAAAGATAAATTTAATTAGCCTAGATATATTGAGTAATATTATACATTACTAAAATGATTTTCTATCTTTAAATGATTGATTAAAATTTGGGCAAACTATATTGGGTGACATTTTATTAAAAATGATTTTTCTATTTGCTTAAACTTTTTGAAAATTTATGATCGTGGCTTTTGTTTTGTTAATAATGGTACAGTAGTGGAGGACAAGCTAACAAGTTCTTTGCAAATTTTATTGCACCATTTTAAGAGATATGGTAATATTGTTAGTAAAAAGGTTAAGAGTTTAAAATGCACCTCAACTAAGAAAAGAAGGTCAAGGTCGCTCCTAAAATCAAAAAAGGATCATTTATTTTCCTTAAATGCTAATATTTTTTATTCTATTACCTTGCCATCTGTTCCATCAAATTTCTTCATTAGTAGGGTCAACATTTGAAATTTTTTAATATTTTTATTATATCCCACCATTTTTTATAGGATTAAGGGTTTAAAATACCTTTCAACTAAGTGAAAGGATCTGAGTTACTCCTAAAATCAAGAAAAGGTAATTGATATCTTTCAACTGTTAAGATTTTTGATCCTATCACCCTGCTATCTATTACATCAAATTTCACTGTTAGTGGAGCTCACATTTAAATTTGTTAATATTTTTAGTGAGTCAAATCAATTTTTAAATATTTTTAGTAGGTCTTCTTAGGTTAGACCTTTGAGCGAGTCTTTAAGTTTGTAAAAATTTAAACTTCACACTACAACTCTCCTATGGTTTCAAGCCCAATTTTTCTACTATAATTTCCAATTGTACCCTCAAATTTGCCATTGCTAAATGGTGCTAGAACTCCATCAACCACTGTAGGAACATGCTTTTGGTGTACTCTTCAGCCTGACCATTCACAATGATAACAAGACTGCAATTGGCTTAGGTGCTCTGCCACTATTGCTTTACTTGCTTCAATCTAAAAATGAGCAAACAAGAGAGGGAATAAGAGAGAAAGGGAGAGAGAGGAGAGAGGGGGTAATTTTTAAAAAATTATAAAAAAAATTAAAAAACAATGTGACGCACTAAAACTATCAAAAATTTTAAATGTAGGCCCCACTAATGGTAAAAATTGACAGAATATATGGCAAGGTGATGAAATTGAAATTCTTAATAGTTAAGGGATATAAGTGACCCTTTCTTGACTTTAAGGGTAATCCTAACCCTTTTCCCTTAGTTAAGAGGCATTTTAAAACCTTAACTCTATAAACAAAATGGTGCGACCCATAAAAATATTTAAAAAAATTAAATATGAGCCCTAATAATGGTGAAATTTGATAGAATCACTGGCAAGGATAATGGAATCAAAAATCTTAGCGATTAAAGAATATAAATGACCCTTTCTTGACTTTAGGATTGACCCTAATCTTTTTCATTTAGTTAAAGACATTTTAAACCTTTAACCCTTAATAAAAACATGTTTTCACCTGCATTTGAAAACTTTTCTACTTTAAAAACATTGTGAAGAGTTTAACTGGATGTTTAAAAAAAAATCTTATTATTTTTATTGTTTTGAACACTTTCTAAGCATGTTTGTGGAATTGGTGATTTCCCAGTATTGAAATTAAGGTCCTGTTTGCTTGTTGAAAAGGAATGAGTTAAAAAAATAATGATAAAAATACAATGATCAAAATGTTGGAGGAGATAAATCAACCATATTTACGTGGAGAATAAATAATTGAGCTTAGGAGATTGAGAGTCATGATTCCTAAAGTTCATAATGAGTGTGGGTTTTCACATTTAAGATATATAGTATTGAATTTTTTCATGTTTACCATAAGAAATTGGATAATTTAATTTATTTTTATTCTTATTTTTTAATTTAATTCTTTACAGCTAAACGGGCCTCAAGAGTTACATAAATCTCTAATAGGTGCGTCAAAATATAATATATTCTTTGCTTAGAATTATTTTGTTATACTTAACCTAGCTATACTCTCATCTACAATATATGACATTTTTTAAAAGTTTTGATTGGTTCAATATAGAGTATTGATTAATTCTTATAGTTATTTTTTCAACTATACTCTTCAATTATTATTCCTAAAAGATGGTCATTTAAAATTTTAATTGTCATTATTAAGTCAAGTCATTTGGACAAAGTATTTAACAAAAGGAGTATATTTTTGAGAAGATTAAAGTTTTAACTAATTTTTTTAGAGTCATGAAATAATTACCCTATATTATGGATCAAAGTGAATAATTTCTTCTGGGGAACTACTTAATTTCTTTGATTGATCTATGTTCATTTAGCTCAACGTGGGTATTTTATTCCTCATCTAAAGGATTCCGTTGTGCTCAATTTTCGCCTACTTATATCCTATCAAGACAAGAGTGATGACACACACACACACACACACACACACACACACACACACACACATCAAACAGAGATGATGGATCCATCTAAACATAAAAAGAAAGGCAAACTACCTACTCCACGTGGACTTTAATTTAAACAAGGAACAACATGATACGAATCCTAAGCCACTCTAGGAGTAATGAATTTCTTAACAGTCTGATATAGTTGTTTGGCTATGGCTTTTGTAGGCTCCTTAGAGAAATCGGCATGCTTATATTCACCTTCAAAATGACCCTTCGCTTGCACACCCCTTTCTTCCAACAATCTCACAAGCTCCACCTCACGGTCCACCAGTGGGTCCCCATAACTTCCAAAGACAATTACCTTCCATCCTAGCCGTTGGATATCATCAAAACCTTTATACCCACTCTCAGCCGTCGGATTGCAATACTCATGATCCCGGTCAGCGCCCACGGGCAACGACAGCTCCCAGAAGAGATCAGTAACGGGCAGTGGCAACATGGTATCATCGGCTAGCCTCAGTTCTGAAGGAGTTCTCTTCATTCCACCGAAGAATGGTTGAACTAATATCAGCCCTCGGATCTTCAACGGTTCAAGTTGATCCACCTCAGCAGCTGCACGAAGACCCGCATTGTAGGCGATGTTACCCCCTGCGCTCTCTCCCATCAGATAGCAGTTTGAACAATCAGCGAAATGCGTCAGCCAGGGATCGTCGGAGGTTCGGATCCAGTGCAACGCTTCAATCGCATCATCGTAAGCCGCCGGCAACCTGTTCTCCGGAGCAAGGCGGTAGTTGACGGAAACGACGACAGATTGGGTGTGTTCTGCAATGTTAACACAGAAGTCGTGGAAGTAAGTGGAGGCGGCGGTGTAGAAGATGAAGCCGCCGCCGTGAAAGAAAACGATGAGAGGTAGGTTGGTAGGGGAAGATGGAGGAAGGTTCAGGGGTTGACGGCGACGAGGAAGGTAGATTCGAAGCCAGGTATTGAGAGAAGGATTAATGGGGAGATCTTTGGAGAGAACAGGAAGGAGAAGGTTGGGATCAGGTGAGGGAGGAGATTCAGGGTATTGGATCAAGCGAGTTATGGTGCCGTTTGGATTCAGACTGATCCGAAGGAATTGGTAAGGATCCATGGTGGTGGTGGATGAATGCGCAACGGAGAGAAAGCAGAGTGAGAAGGAATTCTAGAATTGGTAGATATAAAATGTAACCGGGATCGATCAGTGGGCTGGACACTACAGTTGGCATATGTATATAATAATAATAAAAAGAACTTTAAATTAAATCATTGAAACGTGCGATCTGATCAAAAGATGTTAATTAAAAAAAAAACAAAGATATATAGGTTTTTTTTTTTAGTAATCAAAATATATAGATATATAGATATTTATTATGCCCATGTTATATGAAAAAACATCTAAATCGATCTCTTCTTCTTCCTCTCTCCCTCGAGTATAGTGTTATTGGTTGTGAACATAAATCTCAGGCTTATTATTATGGCAATATAGGGTTTGCCCCGTCGGACCATAATAATATAATGCATTTTTTAAAAATTTTTGCTTGATCTATAATATAAAGTATTTGGTAATTTTTATAATTGTTTTTTCAAATATACCCATATTTCATTTATTACTCTTTTTTTAAAAAAAATGATGCATTACAATTTTAATTACATTATCAAGGCTATTGTATAAGATATTTAATGAAGGTAAAATTGAAAAGATGCATATTTTTTGAAAAAAAATTGAGATTTTAACTAATATTTTTTGAGAACTAGTAATGTCCTATCTGGATGGAGTATATTATATGTTTTGTTAGACTTTTTGTGTATGCTCTTTCCAATCTTATTTGTAAGATATCTTAAAATATAAGATATTTTGTAATAATTAAATTACTTTTTTCAATATTATTCTTTCTTGATTAGTGTGAAGGTAAAAATGAAAACACATATCATTTTTTATCAAAAAAATTAATTATTTTAAGATGTATAAAATGATTAAAAGTGTCTTATAATAAAGATCGAAAGGAATATGTCATAAGAAGTCTTAGAAGTTTAGCATATACTCCATTTGTTAAAAATATAAAATATTTTTTGAAGGGTTGGATATTCAAAGTAGAAGGTATGTTTATTGTTTTAAGGTATAATTAATGTATTTTTTTTCCAAAAGTATCCCTATAATAGATCACTTTATATTTATTTTAAAGTAAAATATTCTATTAAATAGGGATAAATATGAAAAGATGGTATTAATTTGAAGAGAACTAACTATATTATTGGGAGGTGATATTCAATTAAAAATATTTTATATTTTTTAACAAATCAAATATATATTAAGATAAGAATCTGAGTTGCTAAATAAATTTTAAGATTTTTCTTAATTCTCACAAAAATGTATCAAAAGTAATTTATAAAAATAAATTCTAAGAATTATTCCTTGATTTCCCTGTGTTGACTTTTGCATGTGTTGATGGGGATATAATATAATATATATATATATATATATATATAGTGCTTGTGTTAGTAAGGGCTAGTGGCCGGCCAACAAAAAAATAAAAGAAAAGAAAGTAAGGGTTAGTGGTTTTAAATGTGTCCTTTTTTAATGTTCATTATAATGTCCTAATTTTTTTAATTTTATTTTTTTCAGATCATTAACTTCTACATAAAATAAGAGACATTTTGATAAATTAAAAAATAAAAAAAAATCTTCACCGTTTTGAAATTTCAAGATATTAAATGTCTCTTATTTTATGTAAAAGTCAATAATCTAAAAAAGAAAAAAATAAAATTAAGAAGTTAGGACATTATAATGAGCATTAGATAATCGCATATTGAAGGCCACTAGCTAAGCTTAAATATTCTTATTTGGGTTTCTTTAAACATTTTCCTGAAAAAAAAAAAGAGCAAAGAAATTTGATCATTTCTCTCAAAAACTACCTGATAGAAAACGCTCTCACAAAACAATAACTGAAAAAATAAGTGTGGTTTTCCCCACAAATTACATCTTATTGTTTTAGTATGCTTATCATTAAAACGAACTAATCACTTTAAAGTGTGCACCAATGTGAACATTTTTTCTAGGACCGATATTACACAAGCAAGCCATGCTTAGTTCATGTGTTTAAATAGTTGGCAAGAATCTAATGAAGTACTTACATAAACTTAATCATATTTATATGCATATAAGAAAAGGTTATTATAAAATATATTATAAAATAAATAATCGTATGATACTAAGGGCATGTTATTTCTAATTTTAACAACATTTTTTTAAAAAATAAATTTTAATTTTATTCCTTCCCTTATTCTTTTAATCCTTCCCCCAAATCAGGGAATTATTAAAATCCCTCCCCGTTTCTCACTCCCCTCAGCTTCTTTTAACTCTTTTCATTAAAAACACTCTCTTTTTAGAATTGGCTTCCATCCTCTCTTCCATCTTTCCTATTTTTGGATTTCAATTTTAATAGTTGATATTTAATATATTTATTATAAAATTATTATTGTTATATTATATAATAAAAAATTAAATTGTTAAAATTTAACCTAAACATTGAGAACTTTGGTAAAAAACAAGAAAGGTTATTATAAAATATTTTTTAGTACGGTTCTAGTTTTCAACTATTCAAGTTAAATTTTAATACATTACTGTAGAAAGGATATTTAATAATGGTTGTTTTGGATTTTTTGTATTGAAAGTAGAAAGTTGCTTTTTCTCATTAGTTATTAAATCAACATGAAAAAAGACTTTCAACATTAGTTATTTATATAACCAATATGGAAAATTACTCAAAAAAAAAACATTTTTTTAAAATAAACTTTTAACAATGGTTATTTAAAAAACTGTTATGAAAAACCTTTTACAATGATTATCTAATTCCACAATGATTATTTATAAATAACCGTTGTAAAAAAAACAACTGTTCTTTAAATAATCATTGTTAAAAGTGTATTTTTAAAAGAAATTATATATCTAATAGAACTTAAAACCTATAAATTATATAACAAATACAAGAATTGAGCTTAATTTTGAATAATATAACAATCTGTTTTCAACAAGGCCAACGTTTCAAAGACAAAGTGAAAGATAAATTGATCCCAAATATAAAAGGAATGTAAGAAAGAAGAAAGAAACAAAAAACTAACTTGGTAAATGTCAAGGCTTGAAATTGCAAAACAATAATATTATTCTCAGCCTTAGAAATCACTTCAACATTCTCTTCATGGTCCAACTTCTTCGTAAGATAATAATATTGAAGCTAATCATTTTAAGCACAAACAGTAATTTATAATTATATCTAAAAATATGTATTAATTTTACTTAGAAGGAATATGTTTGAAAGCAAGTAGTAATTATGAAATCTTGTTTTGTTATTTAAATTTTGTTTGAAACTTTAAACCTTATTCTAAAGGAAATTGTGTTAATTAGTTTAGATTTTGAAGTACACACATACGAACACAGACATATACACGTAAGAATAATTAAAGCAACCATCTTTTTTAGGTACATAAACTAAGCCACTTTTTTTACACTCCTCAACAAATACACAATAGGCTAAAACATTTTCAAAGTGTGGTTTTGCAGTTGATTGAACATGTAGTTGGGCCAGCTACAAGGCCTTACGTTGTTTCCAAGTGATCTTCTTTGATTTTAGCCCATTATTTGTTAATATCATAATCCAAAATGAACACCCAATTTTGAGAGAACAAGATCATTTGTAAAAAGGAAAAGAGAGAAAGAAAGAAAGGTGCTAATTGGAAGACATAAGGATAAATTTTCTACAATTATAAAAATCACACAATTAAAATGGAGTCATGTAATATAAGATACAATAAGAGTTGGTTGCATAAAGATATAATCTATTTATTTCAATCATGATTTTATTCAACATATCTCAACCCTGACCTTGTTGCCATTCATGTTCTACTTGACAATTGAGAGAGGAAGAGATGTAATAGTACCATATAAAATTGAAACAATCAACATAGCTAAGGGAAACTCATCAAACACCTTACTATAAAACCAAAACTACTCTTCCAGTGCAGCTACTTTCCTGGATGTGAAGAAGGCAAACTGCACAATTTAAAAAAGAAAAAAATAAAAGCATCACCAGGCAAAATGAATCATGATTAAAATATCTATAGCAGAAACTTGATTCCAATTCAAAAGCAATTTTCTGAAGCAAATATGAAAATATCATAGGTATAGTACCTGAATCCAATTCAAAAGCAATTGCAATGAACTTGAATTTGCATTGTTAATGGCATTCTTTAATGTGCAAAGAGGTTAAGGCTTGAGTATCATAGAAGTTTTTCTTAAGAAATAATAAGAATTTTGCATTTATTGACTTATAAATTAAAACAGGAAACTAATCTTAAATTGACATATGACACCAAGCAATGAAAGAGCAAGTTCTTTGTCTCCATTGGCAACATCCTCTGCTACAATCATCGCTAAAAGCAACGGATCAAAGTTTGTCTCTTTCGTTCTCTCTCTCTCTTTTCTAGTTTCTATCACTCATTGTCTCCACTGCACATAGGATAGGTGAAGGGCTTGGTGAGAAGTAAGGCTGCACATGGGAAGAAGGAAGCCATCGGTTTCTTTGGTTGCGGCTATGTTTGGGCTAAAATGATATTTGCAACAAGGAGCTTAATAAGCGATCTAAATTGGAGTAAAATCCATAGGTTTCATATATGTTTTCTAAGTGATTATATGACTACATTAGAAACTGTTGCAGGGACTCGATGTATCATATCATTCATAATCATTCTAAAAAAATGACGTGAAATGGTTGCATCATTAATTATGATAGATAGGAAAAAAAAAAGAAAAAAAAATTAATGAGGCGCTCTATATTAAAAAAAAAGTTAAAATCAATATAAATAATGATTTTAACTTTTGATCATATATTAATTCGATTCATATTTTAGGGCGTGCCATTATTGACTATCTTCTGTTGATCTATTTTGGCAGCCACAGCCCAGAATTGAAGGAAGAAAAAACAAATTAACATTCTTCAGGAGGGGTACACGATACTTTTTTAAATGAGGTTGAAGAGTGGACCAGCTTTGCTTATTTTTATGAGATCCATTCCATGATTTCCTTCCCCAACGTGGTCCACCACCTTCACTCCTCTGCTTCGCAACATCTTCACCAATTCCACCTGTCGATCAATCATTGGGTCTTCGTCACACGC